TGGGGTAACCTTGCTTCTAGAACTTTCCCTCGTAATTTACAGCCTCCCCCAGCCCTTTTCTGCAATGCACATCAGCTAAGCCCTTAAAATAGTCAAGGGCTTGAAGTACGCTAAAAACGTAATGTATGTTTAAAGGGTATTAAATTTTAAACTAAAATTTACATGGAAATATGACATTAAAATATTTTTAGCTTTCAGGAAGCTGGGGGCTGGAATGCTATAATACAGACAAATTTTATCATTTTAGAAAGAATTAGCCTCAGTATTTCTTACATTCATGGAGTTAATGCATAAAGATGTGCATCCTGCCTGGGGCTACTATGTGGAGGCAGGAAGGGGTAGGGAGGGGAGAGCCGGCAGTGGGGCCCTTGGAGGGAGGGCCAGGTCTCACGTGGGCCCCACGGCTTCCCTGGAGGGCTGGGGCTGCCCCAAGGCCTGAGATCCTGCAACCAGTGCGTTTGGGGTGAGGGCCTGGGTTTCCCTAGCGCATGCCAGGCCCGTGCGTATTATCTCATTTACTTCCCATGCCACTCCCTGGAGGTGGGGTTCTCTCCCAGTTAACGCAGATGAGAAAATGGCTCAGAGAGGTTGAGTCATGGGTCTGTGGTCACACAGCACAGAGGTGGATTTTCATTCCTTCTCCAGACCCTCAGCTCAATCATCAGTCTTGGTGCTGTTTGAACATCCACTGCCCGTCTCCTGGGAGTCTAGGGGATCCGGCTCCCAAGACGGGGGCAGGTAGTGAGCGGCACAGAGCCCACAGTGAGAGGCTCTGGGATGAGACTCTGGGCTCCTCCACCTGCCAGCTGTGAGCCTATGACCCAGAGGGTGGTGAGCCCATCTGCAAAGCCCTCAAATGCCAGAGGTCAGGGACCAGGGAGGCCGTGGGACTTGGTGGTCACAGCAGGGGGTGCAGATTGGGCGACTGCCCCGAGGACTTCCCAATGAGAGGAGCCTCTTACTATCTCTACTTTACAGATAGGGAAACTGAGGCTCAGAGAGATTAAAGACAGTATCCTCAACACCAGTCAGGCTTGCCAGGGGGAGGGCCAGGACTCCTACCCCAGGCTATGTGGCTTCAGGGCATCGCTGTGTCCTGGGGGCCTCTGGAGCCCCCAGACCTCCTTCGTGGTGGCCGCCAAGAGGCCCATCGGGCAGCCCTTTCCAGCCCGGCTGCAGGCACGGATGCTGGGGCAGGAGAGGGGGCTCAGGCAGCCGGCTCCAGCCCCAGGAGAAATCCAGCCAGGCCAGGGGGGGCAGGTGTGGGCGGAAGTGACCACTCACTGCCTGGCGGGCACCCCCTGGCCGCCGCACCTCCGGGAGGTCACTCATTGGCAGTTAAAAATCTATTGTGACTTGTCAGAAAAATGAATAAATGGGCACATTATTTTTTCATTCCAGACCTCAGCATCTGTTTGTCTAATCAGGAAGGAGAGTGGGGAAGTCGGCCAGGGCTGCCGCGCACGTTTTATGCAAGTTTTCCTCTGTCAGAGGAGTTTAAATGGGTAATGAACAGGCCATGGTGATTTGAAATATAATCCCATTATGCTGACGAGATTACTGGGCTTCGAGACTTCACAAATCACTCTTAGGGCTTTTATTGAGAACATGGAACACCACCCTGTTGGGATTTTGCATTTAGGCAGAGGTGTTTGGTGGGAACACAACGTGATGCGTTTAACTCTTTCCTTCTCCCTGGCCACTTTCCGAATAGCAGGGGCCTCTGAAAGGGGCTTCCATGGAGCCTTCAGAATCCAAGGTGTTTAGTCCCCAAGGGCCAAGACAGAGGCCCAGGGGGGGCTGGGAGACGGCTGGGTGGGGGTGGGAGGCCAGAGAACAGGACCCTGGGCCAGCTCCACCACTTTCCAATGGCACGGCCTCAGTTTCCTCATCTGTAAAATGGGAATTAGGTGGGCATGAGAATAATGGAGAAAACAATTCATAACTAACATGAGCTGCTCAATAGCAGGTGGGAGGCGGGCGCTGATGAAAGAATAGAAAGTCCTCATGTGCGGCCTGGCGCGGTGGCTCACGCCTGTAATCCCAAAACTTTGGGAGGCCAAGGCGGGTGGATCACGAGGTCAAGAGATCGAGACCATCCTGGTCAACATGGTGAAACCCCGTCTCTACTAAAAATACAAAAATTAGCCGGGCGTGGTGGCGGGCGCCTGTAGTCCCAGCTACTCGGGAGGCTGAGGCAGGAGAATCACTTGAACCCGGAAGGTGGAGGTTGCAGTGGGCCAAGACTGTGCCACTGCACTTTAGCCTGGGTGACAGAGTGAGACTCCATAACAACAACAAAAAAAAGTCCTAACATGCTCCAGTTTGTCACGTGGGGTATGAGGCCACACACAGCAGTATTTTAGGGGCAGGCTGATGGGTGTATTCATTTGAAGAGTTATGTATTTATTTTAATGTGCACCAGAACACATATGCAGCACACCAACCCCATGGCTTCATGGCTGTTCTTGCTTAGGATGGCTAACGCAGAGAATCACGTTGGCCTGAATGGTAAAGGGAAAACATTAAATCATAGATGAGGTGCCACCTCGGGGTGGGGAGCCTGTGAACGGTGATGTTGGGGAGCATGGAGTCACCTCTTGGTGGCAGATATTACAACTGTTCCCAAACGTCTGTGCCCTTCAATTCCCGGGAGGTGGTGCTGCCTGTCCTCTTGGAGTAGGCGGCACCGTACGGTGGGTTCTGGCCAATGGGATGTGTGTGGGAACGAGAGGTGCCTGCTGTGTCTCTTTCCAGCCTTAGCATTTTGCCATTGCTGCCCTGTTTTCTGGCCCTCCTGCCCCGGTCCCAGTCCTTGTGGAAGCCCCCGGAGGTCGTGGAGACCCACAGCTGGCTTCGTGTGGAGAGAGAGCGCTTCTGCTCCGTGCAGCCGCAGCACAGCCTGGCCAGGCCTGGCCAGGAACTTGATGCGACCCTCACCGTGCCCCTCTGAAGGAGCTGGTACTGTCTCCCTTTAACAGAAGAGGAAACTGAGGCTCAAGGAAGTAGAGTAACTCACCCAAGGACACACCCACTGGGAGACAGCGCTGGCGCTTCATCCTCCTGGCCTTGGCTTAACAACCCATCTTGTCACAGGAGTCTTGGAGCTCCAGGAGGCGAAGGGGCTTGTTCAAGTCAGAGGGTGTGCAGAGGTCCATGAAGCAGCTGGGAGGGGCTCCCTCCAGCAGCAGGTGGGTAAGGATCCTACATGAGTGTCCCCAGCCCCCACCGGCCTACCCAGGCTGTGCCTTGTACCTCAGGCCTTTGCCCACTGCCCTCTCCTGCCTCCCTGGCACCTTCCAGGTGCATGTGGGCAGCCCGCATGCAGTTCACAGTGGTGTGGCCAGAGGCCACTCGCCCCCAACTCTTGGCCCGTGTTGACGGCCGGGTTTGGTCTTTGCTCGCCCTGATGTTCTGTAGTCCCTGATCTGGGGAAGCGGGGGGCCCTAAGAAGCAGCTGGCAGGTGTTCAGGGACATGTCGGGGGTGGGAATCACCTCCCAGCCTTTTAATCCACGCAGAGGAGACAGAGAGAGACATCCCTGTGGTCCCCATACAGCTGAGTGGCATCTGAGGCGTGGTGCACTCTGGTCCTGGGGGCCTGGATAGGAAGTGTCTAGAGGCAGCTGCCGGCTCAGGGCCAGGGACGGGAATGCGCTGTGCCAAGGCCAGCGATGCAGGGCTACAGGTTGGGCCTGGGCCTCAGAGGTGGGGGCAAGTATGGCCCAAAGCAGGCAGGGCCTGCTAAGAATGATCAAACTGGCCAACAAGGGAAAGTGCTGAGTTGAGCCGCAGTGAGCGCTCCAGTGCCAGAGGCATGCAGGCAGAGGCCGAAGTGGGCTGCAGTGTCTCTGGGCTGGGCTAGATGAGCTCACAGCATTCTCAGCTCTCACCGCCCTCCCTCAGAAGCAGAGAGGCTCTGGCAAAGATTGGCAAACAGAAACCAGGAAGCAAAGCTGGGCTCCCACGATGCTGAGACATTAGGACATGCTTTAGGAGGGTCTGCGGGCTCCTCTAATCCAGCACCTTCATTTTCAGCTCAGGAAAATGAGGGCCCAAGAGGAAGGAACCAGCTTGGAGCCACATGGCTGCCACCTGTGGAGGGCAGAGCCCAGTGGTTAAGAGCAGGGCTACCGTGTCCGCCAGTCATTCACGGTGAGTCTGGGGCCAGTGAAGTGGCCCTTCCAGTTCTCGAGTCCTGACCCCTGAAATGGAGGTGGTGATGGGACCTGACGGAGGCTGCCTGTGCGGGTTTCATTACTGCATGTTTATAGATGGCAGCACACAGCAGGCCCTTGGAAGAGGAGGGTGGCTCCCAGGGGCCAGCGAGGCCAGGGCTCCTGGGACCCACTGCCCAGGCCTGCCAGGCAGCCCATACCTTGCAAGTCCTCCACCAAGTTCAGAGGCCCAGTTGTGAATTATCATCAACGCTGTGACTTTTCACATTGTCTTGGGCAGGGGCCACACCAGGGCCAGGTCAGGAGACCTGGTGGAAAGCAGAAGTGGGGTCCATCAGTCACTTCGGTTATCTCGGGTGTGCCGAGCTCCTCCTGCCTTGCCCAGCCCGTGCCGGGGAGAGTGTGAGATGCCTGTGTCCTAGAGCTCACGGTCCTGTCTTTAGAGATCTAGGTACGGGGTTGGGGAGAGCGGCTGAGGAAAAGCTGGATGTAGTCTCGATCAGTGCTGGGCCTGGGCGGTGGCTGCCGTGTTCCCTTTCTACTTTTCCTTCACTGGAACATGTATTTATGTAAACTGAGAGTGTCGCATTTCACAGTAAGAGAAGGGTATTGATTTTGTGGCTGAAAGAGGTGATGATTTTGGTGTCACCCCTGAGTGAAGAGGGCCAGCCTGTCGTGCTTAGCACCGAAGAGGCCTCTGTGCATTTCAGAGATGTTGCTTCCTCGTCTACTGCCAGCAAATGCCACCACCCAGCAGGGGCAGAGTCATGGTTTTCGGCAGCACGTACTCCAGACTTCAAGAATTCAATGCAACATGCAAAAGTGGGTATTTATACGACTTTTATTTTAATATCATTTTAATATTGAATATGTCACAAGATTTAATGACCAAATTAGTCATTTACATTTTCAAAGATATCTAAATATAAAATTGCTAAAAATTCAAATACAGATAGCAAGCTACAAATATTTCTTTTAATTCTGGGTAGGGGGTAGGAATGGAAGACATTAGAAAAGGATGCTCCTGTCGGCTGAACAAAGATCAGAATGAAAGAATTCATCAACATGACCCCTTGCGCAAAGAAATACACTCAGCTTTGAGATGCTGTTTTAGACACATCTCTTCCTGTACAACAATTTAAAAAATGTTTCTAATGCAGGTCCTCAGTGACACACCGGTCCCCGGCCCCGGCTGGGGACAGTAAGAAAGGACATCGCCGCAGGAGGGGCACTGAAGAGGCTGTCGAGGACCGCAGAGGCATCTGGTGTGGCCAGAGGCGTGGTGTCAGGGGCGTCTGATCCCTTGCCTGTTCCCACCCAGGGAGCCGGACGGCACAGACACAGGTCTCCCTCCGCTCACCCCCTCCCTGAAACGTGAGAAACAGCAGCTTTCCGCCTGCTTGAACAAGGAGGCAGGCACTGTAAGGAGAAGAGGAAAGGGGAATGCGGCCCCTTCCAAGGCAGCGAAGCAGAGAAGATTCCAATCCTGGGAAAATCCACATGCAGGTGGAACTGCCAGCTGAAACCTACACTTGCTACTTAAGAAACGGAAAGACATGTCTGGTCAGAAGCGCGGCCTCCGCACCAGCCATCGCCCTCCTCCGGGCGCCCCGCACTGTCCACACAGCTCCTGGGCTCTGAGGTCAGAAGCTGGGGTGTGCTGAAGGGGAAAGTGACACGGCCTTGGACACACCACCAGGTCTCTGTTCCTAACTTTTAGTAAGACACTACCCTCGAAGCAAATGCACTCATTTAAACAAATGGCATAGTTAAAACTATTGACTAAGACCTAAACATTTCTTCTGAGAAATCGAACCATAGCTTTTCCAATCTGCCTGTTCAATATGGGAACAGATTTTAGAGAATAACATAATCAATCCTCCGCCCCAAAGAATGGTCCACCATACCAACCATGATGAAGAGTACACCTGTTTATTAAAAGGAAAACCAGAAATGTACATTTTTGTTCTTTGTTTGCTTTAAGAAATTTGATCAAGTTGCAAGGAAACGTGTGGGCACAGCTCTGTACATCCTCGGGCAGGGTGGCAGGCAGTGAAGGTGGCTGGGTGGCACGAGGCTCCTCTAGGGGGTGGTCTGGCCCCCAGGCATCACTCATCAAAGCCACTGCCAAGCAGGTTTCCGCCCCATGGCAATGTTCCCAGCACTCCCTCCTAGGGGGCCCCCCAACACCTTCTCTGAGAGCCCGCCTGCCCTGTGCCAGTGAGCCAGGAACTGGCCTCCCCCCGAGGACTTCAGGACACTGGGTGGGCTCTAGGGCACTTGGCCCTGGCAGGCAGGCTCTGAGCTACGGAACAGATTGAGGCTGGAGGCCAGTGTCACTGCTGCCCGGATTTCTTCTCCTTCTGGAAGCTGAAGCTCGTACGTCTGTTCAGTTTTCTTTGTTTTTGAGCAAAGTAGTCAGCCCGGGCAGTGCTTGCTCGCGATTCCAGGATGTAGTTAACCTAGAAGCAAGAGCACACAGCCCAGTCACGTCGCCAGCCGCTCCCTACTCACCCAGGGCATAGGAGGGGGTGGCAGGGAAGGCCCTGACCTGGGCCAGGTGCCTCAGGGCCAGGTGCTGTCGTGTGGAAGGAGTCCAGTCATCACAGCAACCTGGCAGCGGCTGGGCCCAGAGCCGCCGCTCTACGATGGGAAAACAGAGGCTTGGAGAAGCCAAGTGGCCCATCCAGGCTTCCCAGTCGGTGAGCGGCAAGCTCTTCAGGTTCCGGAGTCCGTGCTCCCTCCTGGCGTGAGCCACTCCTGGAGGGCTGTGCCCTGGGCCGCCTGGCCCTGCCTCTCACCTGCTGTGTGACCTGGACATGCGCATAACGTCTCTGAGCCTGCCTTTCCCTGTGTGAAGGCCGAGAACATAGGGATGAAACGTAAACCAAGACAGGCCCTCCATCCAGCCTCCCACCAGCCAGGCGCAGAGCTTCCCACTACAGTGCTTCCTTCTGGGCTCATGAGTGCCCGGCCAGGCAGGGCTCCCTTGACAAAAAGGAAAGAGGCTCAGAGAGGGAGGCCAAAGTGTCCTAGGCCACCCGGCAGTCAGGGTGAGAGCTGTGAGAGGGCCTGTGAGAGCCCTGTGTGAAGGGCGGGGCTGCTGCTTCCACGAAGCCCTGGGAGTCTGCCGGAGCCACATGTGCATCTCCCACTCTGTGTAGCAGCTGCACCACCAGGCGCTTCCCCAGCACTACAGCCCTGAGACTTGGTCCTGGCCCTGGGGAGCCTGCTGCCTGGTGGGTGAGTGTCTGGCAGCAGAGCCAGCACTGCAGCAGGCAGAGGGCACCAAGGAACGGGGCTGAGCATCAGGGAGGCGCGGAGGAGGGAAGGCTTCCAGAGGAAAGAGTGAGCTGGCTTCTGAGGGACACGCAGGAGTTTCTGAGCACACAATAGAGAGGAGAGACCAGCATTCGTCAAGGCACAGCAGGGGCACACTGCGGGGAGTGTCCCTGGCACTGCGAGAGCTTGGATGGCTTCGTGAAATGAGGTAGGGGGGAGCCAGGAAGGGGTGCTACAGTGGGATGCACATGCCCCAGTGCAGAGGACGGCCTGTGCCTGGGCAGGGGTGGCAGCAGCAGTGTGAAATCAGTGGTGGCAACTGGCACTGCTCGGAGTGCCTTTCAGTGCTCATGGAATCTTCACAATAACCTTGAGACAGACGCCACTGTCATCCCTCTGCACAGGTGAGGAAGTCAAGGCCAATGACAATAATGTCATTTAGTCAAGGTGACAAAGCTAGAAGGTGTCAGGCGCCTGGCAAACACCCCTTCCCGCTCCGCAGCCCCTCACCTCCTCTGCTCCTCTGGCTGGGGCTTTTGGTGAACAGACGCTCTCTCTTCACCTGCAAGTATCTAAAAGTTATGACTAGAAGGCCGAATATTTCTGACGAGAGAGGCCGGCCACTGCCTCTGCTGATTCTACTCTGAGGGCCATGTGTCCTGCGCCAGAGGGAGAGGAGCTTCTGCTGACTCCGAGAAGGAACCAGAGCGCTCCCGGGAGAGGCAGCGCGACATGGCAACGCCTCAGATGGCCGAGACTTCAACACTGTCCCTCCCAACTTTCTGCTCTGCTGGTTGGAGCAGCAGGCGTTAAAGGCTGGTGCGTGAGTACAGAAGGCCTGACACACACTGCCCGCTGCCTCGCCAAGTTACCAGCTGAGAGCAATAAATCATGAGGACCGCAGGGCCAGGTTGATGATTTGGGACAATACAATGTATGGAAATAAGAGGTTTTATTCATTCTTAATAAAAGCAATCTTGGATTATATTGTTTGCACACTTAGCCAACCTAGTGTTTTCAGTGTATTTTTGGCACATATAACTTGACAAAAGCATTTTAAAATGATCCTTAACAAGCCAACTATTTCCCAAATTTATTATCTTCAGTGCTTTGTGATAATCACATAGATAATTTTAATGGAAGATTAATGTAATAATCAAAAGATAAAAACGCCCTTTGGTCTGCCATTAGCTGGTTAATATGCTGTGGCTTAAACTTGCACAATTTTATGCACTATAGAGTGTTTCACTTTCAATGCAGTTTACAGCTTAAGGCATAAAAATATAGGGAGTTTTCATGGTCAATAAAGCCACAGCCTCCACCACTCGATCATGAGAAGAACCTGATTTGAAGAGCCCGACAATTCCTTTGAGATTCATGTCAAAACCTGTGGAATTAGGGGCCACCCACGGCTTAGCTCAGTGACATCTTGGGGAAGAGGGTGGCTCTGGAGCTTCTCGGGGCCAGGTTCAAGTAGAGGCTCCACCCTTGTGTGCTCTGTGACCCCGGGCCTCCATCTCCTCGTCTATAAAACGGGGACAATGTCTACATTCTGGAGGGCGGTCAGGAAGATTAAACAAGATAATGGACATAAGATGTACTACATGTAGCTGGTGTTCAATAAATGGGAGACGTTCATATTTCTACAAGCGCAAAAAGCTCGATGGAGGCTTGCTTGTTCATGATCGTTTGACATCAGATTGTGGCTCTTATTTCCTCCCCTCAATTTCCATCTAAGCTCTCATTTTATGCAAAATTCCTGAATTCTAGAACAACAGCATGCATTACTAGAGTCTAAACTGACCCCTGAAGAGCTTCTGATGGCAACAACATTTTTGCCAAGTTCCAGGACACACGGCTGGCTTCTGTTGCTTGGTACTGATGCAAAGCTCACAAAGACACACTCGTGACACTGCAGGAATGGTGGATAAAACTAAGTATTCCAGGCCGGGCGCGGTGGCTCACGCCTGTAATCCCAGCACTTTGGGAGGCCGAGGCGGGTGGATCACAAGGTCAGGAAATCGAGACCATGGTGAAACCCCGTCTCTACTAAAAATAGAAAAAATTAGCTGGGCGCAGTGGCGGGCGCCTGTAGTCCCAGCTACTCGGGAGGCTGAGGCAGGAGAATGGCGTGAACCCGGGAGGCGGAGCTTGCAGTGAGCCGAGATTGCGCCACTGCACTCCAGCCTGGGCGACAGAGCGAGACTCTGTCTCAAAAAAAAAAAAAAAAAAAAAAAAAAAACTAAGTATTCCAATTGCTATAAAAATCAGAGATGGGGCCGGGTGTGGCGGCTTTTCCTATCTGATGCTGATGCCTGTAATCTCAGCACTTTGGGAGACTGAGGTGGGCAGATCACTTGAGGCCAGGAGTTCGAGACCAGCCTGGCCAACACGGTTAAATCCCGTCTCTACTAAAAATAGACAAAAATTAGCCAGGCGTGGTGGTGGGTGCCTATAATCCCAGCTACTCAGGAGGCTGAGGCAGGAGAATCACTTGAACCCGGGAGGTGGAGGTTGCAATGTGCAGAGATCATATGACTACACTCCAGCCTGGGCAACAGAGTAAGACTCTGTCTCACAAAAAAAAAAAAAAAAAAAAAAAAATCAGAGGTCGGAGAAGTACTATCTCATCTTCCATCAGGATCATGATCATTAGCTCTAAGTAAATCAGGCCTGGGTATACTATAACTCTTCTGGAGTCTTGTGCATGATGCAATATTTCTACAAATATTCTGATATGGAAACAGACACTTTAGGGAAGGTGACAGGCCTCAGGGATTCTGCGGAGAGGCATCTGCTTCGAGGGAGCGTTTGGACGTGTAAAATGATTTCTCCGCACTTGATCTTCCACAGTCTCATACTAAAGTCATAAACCTGTGTTTCTGTCATCAATCTGCTGTTGTGAAAATTATTTTGATGTCAAACACAGGATTATAATTTTACTAGAATCCTTCTCAAGTCTTGAATATTTTAATGCTGGCTATAAAAAAAAAAAGTCCAGCCCTTATCGGGGTAATGGAATATTTCTCTGCCAGGTCCCTGAACGCTCTGCACAAGGTGCCTGTGCTGTCTGTGATGCTCCAGTGGGTAACTCGAAGCTCGCTGGCTGCAAGCACTCCCATGCAGGCCCTGTGTCCCCACTCCTTGGTCCAAGGGGGCCTCTGATCAGGGTGGTCTGTGAACCCTCTATCTTTCATCCAGCTAATCATGCTACTCTGTCCTTGCTCCAAACTGTCCTTCCAGCTGCTCTTTTAAATTGCCATCTACTCCTTTTGAAAATCTTTTGCAGCCATGGGGAATGTATCTCAATATATTCCTGGACCGCAGTTCCATTTCGTTGAAATCTCCCACTCAACTCTTAGGTCATGTACATCTGGGGAATTAAAACACAAGTCTGACATCTGTCAAATCTGGGGGCAAGTTCTGGTTCTGCCAGCTTACCAGAGTCATGATCCTGGCTTTGCTACTTTATTCCTGAGCCTTACTTTTCATCTGGGAAATGGGAACAACTTTATCTCATGACCTCACAGAGCTGTGAAGATGCACTCTGATGGGACACGCAGAACCTCTGGCCCAGGTCCTGCACTGGGCAGTCCCTCAGCATATCTTCGCTATTTTTGCTATTGTTTGATGACTTCAACTCTTAAGAAGAGACTGAATGATAAACTTACATAGGTTTACCATGTCTCATCTGACTTGTGCTCTAGAAGCCCTGGTGGGGTGGGGTAGCATAGGTACCATGATCCCCACTTTACAGGTGGGGACACTGAGGCCCAGAAAGGTGATGTGACTAGCCAGGATCACACAACTAGGGGTGGGGGAGCCCTCTCTGGTCCTCACCGCTGCTCTGCCACAGCAGCTGCTTTTCCTATCTGATCAACCTATGGAAGATTTGGCTTGAAGAAAGGATTCTCTGCTTGGGAGAGGCTGAGACCCCTAGTTCAGGGCTACTCAGAGTGTGGTGCTCAGACCAGCGGCCAAAGCAGCACCTGGTGCTTCTTGGAAACGTACCATCTTGGGTCCTATCCCAGACCTCCCAAATCCACAAGACCCCTGGAGCTTCCCATGCCAAGCAGAGCTCCCCTCAGCCACACTCCACTCTGCAAGGCCCTGCATGGCCTAGCCCCACCAGCCCCCTAGTCCCCTGTGCCTGCCTTGCCTCAGCCCATTCCCAGGTTGCCTGTCTGTGGTGCTTCCTCTTTCCTTACCTGGTCAATATTTGTGCCTTTTCAGTCATCCTTCAGGGTTTAGCTCTCCCTGCCTCCACACTTCCACCCCAAGTCAGTTTACTGTGACACACCCACACCTTTGAGACTAACAATCTCTTTGTAATTTTCTGTTTTATGCCTGTTTCCTCTGGTAGAGGAAAAGCTCTCCGGGGGCAGGGACAGAATCTGTCACTGTGGCATCCCAGGCCCTGGCCTGGCACATGGAAGGTGCTCGGTGAGTATACTGTTAAGGTATGGTGACATACAAGTCTAGCAGAAAGTTAGGTATGTTTAGAACAGGTTGCTAAAATCACCTTGAGCATAATTAAGGTATCTTCAAAACAATAATAATTTCCTCAGAGTCTGCTCGAGGAGCTTCAAGGAGCTCCTGACAATAGTTGCAGGAAAATAAACAGTACATAAAAGGAATAAACAAATACAGGAAGAGCCAGGGTTATCGGGGTTGGGAGGAAACTGAAAAGGGTCCTGCTTTGACTGAAGCAGATGCAGAGCAGCTGACCTGGGGCTGGTGTGGCCCCTGGCACAGGCACTCACCCCTAGGTGGCTGGCAAGCCGTGATGCTCCTCCTCTGCCAAACTGGGCCCGGGAGCCTTGTATACAGCTGTGGAGTGGGTGGGGCTGCGGCCATGCCCGAAACAGTCAGAACAGAAGCTGGACCCACCTACCCCGTCTCTGGTTCAAGAAGGAACACTTACCTTGAGCACAATTTCATTGACGGTAGCAGCGTCCGATTCAAAGTAGAGGTGTTTATAGTCGTGATTGCTTAGATATGTGAGTTTAAATATTGCGTGACCTGCAGAGAGAGAAAACTGTGTTGAGGGGTTCTGGTGAGTTAACTACGGTGGGGGCCTCCATATGTTCTCCCCTATCATTCCAATTTGAGTGAGAGCAAGTGAAGGCTGAGCGGCACCTAGTCTTTCCAGGAGTAGTTCATTTTCTCATTCAGGCTGGGTATAAAATAGACAATGAAAAAATTTTAAAAAGACTCAACAGCCAGGTAGGTCCCATTCCACTCTGGAATGCGTTCAGGGGAATGCCATGTTAGGAAGGCTTTATGGACTGCTGCTATATGATAATTACATGGAAAAGGTGGCGTTTTTAAGGGAGAAGGCTAATTAACTCCACATTATTACTCTAAAAATAAACTAACTGTGCTTAAAGTCAGATAAATGAGCAATAGGAAGGAGAAGGGTCAATAGCCATACTATTATGAGGCTGCTCCCACAGCCTGGGCTTCTGCTGGGAGGGGACTCCTGCCTGGAGAGGGGGAATCCCAGTCTTAGATCTTGCTTGGAAGCTGCTCCCAAAGGCCTCAGGTCATCTCAACTCTGGGAGGACGGGGGCAGGGCGGGGGCTATGGAAAGCTGGCACTTCACAAAGCGACCGACTCCAGGGGGCAGAGCTTCTGAATATAAATCTGATCTAGGTCCCCATTCTCCAGGCCCTGTCCTACCACTTTCAGGATGACACTGTCATTTCTGGGACTGCTTCCTGGTCTATCCTCATCTCACTCTGCTGCCCTGACAGGAAACAGGCTGCCAGGGCGCTGCACACTCCCACCTGCGACACCAGTCTCTCCATAGGTTCTTCCCAAGCCTGGGATGTCCTCTCTCACGGACCTGGATGGAAAAGACCTGCTGATCCTTGGTGGCTCAGCTCAGCTGGCGCCTTCTGGGTGAGTCTTCATAACTACACTTCTAGGTGCACTTCTTGTGTGGGCCTACCACATGGTACCATGGCTCTCCAAAGGAACCTGCTTGTCTTATCGTCACTGCAGCCATGGCTACATTATCTGGGCCTGTCCTTTTATGTCTAGACAGGTCAATCAGATTCCCTCTTCTAAATGGAGATACAGATGCTGGGCTGTCTAAATTGGCACAAGGACTCAGAATAAGATGAGGGGCTTTGGGACTTCCAGTCTCAGGCCCATGGAGACTGCCCCGGCCTATCGGCACTGTTATCCTTGGGTTCTAGAAGACCCCTGTGGCCTTCCAAGAAATTCTTCTTTCTCCTTAAGCTACTGAAGGTGGTTTCCATTACTGGCAAGCAGAGGAACAGTGCCCAAGAGAGACACGTAGCCAGTACTCAGTAAACCTTCCCAGACCAAGGAACAGCAGGCGACATCTCTAATACGAAGGCCTCCTGCAAAATGCCCAGAAATGACCTTCCCTAGTCTTTCGACAGACCTTAGTGCCTGTAAGATTAAAATTCAGCATATCCTTTCTATTAGTCCTTCTCATCCGTTGTCCTTTTAATTGAAGCAGCGGCTGGTCATAGTTATTAATTAATAATATATCACCCATATTACTGTAAGTTCACCTCTTTCCCGGAGAAATCTTCTTGGGGACTTTATTTACAGTAGCTAATTTTTCAGATCTCCAAAAATAAACTGATATATGTTGTACATTTGTGGCCAGAAAAGTTGAGCCACTGGTATTTTATCCTGGAAACATCATTATGATGTACTAATTGTGACTATAAATCCTAAATTGAAAAAATTACCTAATAATTTCTGAAAAACCTCACTTTCAGACATTTGACAAATTTAGCCTGATTCTAAATCATGGTACTAAAATGTTAGCATTCCTGACTGGAAGCTAATCATTCTGTTAAGATATAAATTCTGTGTTGCTAATAAGGAGGTGGACCTTACACAGAGGCATCTGTGTGTGCGTCTGTATATATTCACATTCACAGGATCTACCCCACATCAGAATCTTGTTGGTGACATTCCTGTGTGGAGGAACAATGCGGGCACTTTTGTTGGCCATGCTGTGACCAAGCAGAGCCATCTACAAAGGACACAGGGCTGTGAAGGACAAAGAGACACCCCCTCCAGGAGGCCTTCCTGCTGACACCTGGCCACGACAGACAGACACCAGGGCCTGGGGCTACAAAGAACCAGAAGGTCTTAGGGAGACCTGCAGACCCGAAGCTTCGGGGTTCACTGACCACTTTGATAAGACAGCTTATGGACTATCCACACCACCTGCTCCTGCTTGTCACTGACAAAACCGAACCAAACCTCAAAGCACTACAGCATGTTTTGCCTGAGCAACTGAGACACTGTTAAAAAGGTTTCCTGCACTTTAAGCAGAGCCCAATCTATACATAGCACATGTAGTATGCAGTCTGCACGGCCCAGGAGCCTCAGAAAGGAAGCTTTGACGCTGTCCCCTTGGGACTATGGTGCCTATGAAGCATGTCAATTGTGGGCTGACAGAGGGGAGGCCTGTGGTTCATCTGCACAGTCACGTGAAAAAAACAAAAAAAAATCCCAAGCCAAGTCTCCTGAAAGGCTGTATATTTGAACCAAGTGACCCCAAATCCCCCGTCCTCTGAATTTTGAATGTATCTGGTTGCATGTGGAGGCTGTGTGTCCCCTGACCATCCCAGGGCTCATGCCAGCACCCATCTGAGGAAGAGTGAAGCAGGTGGGGAGAAGGAAGAGTCCCGACATCCCCCCACTCTCCCTCAAGCCTCCGGTCTGTTTGTCCTTTCCAGTGAAAGCACTCACACCATGGGGAGAGGGGAACAGAGGGCAGAGAATGTTCTGTGGAGCACCTGTGATTGGACTTGAACAATGACAGAGCTGCAAAGTCAATCACTGGGCTGAGGCATGGTGGACAGCCACAGCAGACAGCCCCCTCTTGCTCTCTGCAAGGAGTGATGAGTGGAACCCTGAGAGGCAAGTGCAGGTTAAGATCAGCAGCCGTGATGGGGCACAGGACATGGGATGGACTCACTCCGCAGGCGTTTCTGCCCTGAGTTCCCCTCACTAGCGGCCCTGTTTCGCTGGGCGGCCAGAAGGGCAGTTTTCCTCAGTCTGGGCTCTGCCAGGAGCACAGGCTAGGGCAAAGGACAGAGAAATGAACACTGAGAGTCAAATATGATGAGCGTGAAGAAGGTAAACACAGGGAGCTGCCGTGGAGACACCAGGGCAGAAGCACCTGGCCAGGGGTGGAGAAGAGTCACCAGGGGCAGTTTCTTGGGAGGAGCTGACACCTCGGCAGTTTTGGAGGAGGGCAGTGAGTCAGCCGGGTAAAGGTGAGGGTGGAGAAGGATGAAAAAGAGGAAGATACCACAGGGCAAGGATATGGCATGGGTAAACATACACGGTCTCCACGGGAGCTCTGGGCAGACCAGGGTCATGCGTGGCAGGCAGGTGGGAGGGAGGGGGCAGTCGCAAAGGGCTGAGAGTGCCTGGAGTCACCAGCTGATGGGGGCCACTAGTGGAGTTTAAGCAGGGCAAGTGAAAGAAATGGGCAAACTGTGTTTTAGGGTGTTCTACCTGGTTCCCTGGAGCCTGGAGGCGAGGTAAGCAGTTCCCATAGTCAGCCAGGTAGGAGTGAGTGCAGTTTTGAGCTAGACAGGTGCAGAAAGGATACTGAAAAGGAATGGAGGCGAGAACTACAGAGAAGGCAATGTTGGCAGGATGGGGAGACTCTTTCACAATAGAATAATCACTAATAATCAGAATTCACACTTCCATGACTTCACCCAGACCAAGACCTATATATTAAAGCGTAACACGTTCACTGACCTCTTGCTGGAAATGAATCTGTCAATAAACATGAGTAATTTATGCCACATGGTAAATTTCCACCATAGGTGTCTGGGAAGAAGGAACTGCCCACACTTCAACACTGACTGAACAGGAGAAGAACACCTGTTATCAGATACGGTCAGCCTCAGACACCTCACGGCTCATCTCAGGTAGAAGAGGAACAGGGGGCCAATGACCTCCTCAGCTGCAGCCCACCAGGCATCTGTCCTGGGGCATTAAAGGGAATCAGAGTTGGGCAAGTTACCCTTGAAAATTCCAAGACCACCAGCAGTTTTCATAGGAACAGGGTTAAGTCATAGGAGCAAGTTTTGTAAAAAATAGCTGAGATGCTGGGCGCAGTGGCTCAAGCCTGTAATCCCAGCACTTTGGGAGGCCGACGTGGATGGATCACCTGAGGTCAGGAGTTCGAGACCAGCTTTCCCAACACTGTGAAACTCTGTGCCTACTAAAAATACAAAAATTAGCTGGGCATGGAGGCAAGCACCCAGAATCCCAGCTACTCAGGAGGCTGAGGCAGGAGAATTGCTTGAACCTGGGAGGCAGAGCTTGCAGTGAGCCAAGATTGCGCCACAGCACTCCAGCCTGGGTGACAGAGCGAGACTCTGTCTCAAAAAAAAAAAAAAAAAAAAAATGAGACGAGAAAAAGTTATATATTAGTATGACTTGAAAAAAATGCAAAGTTTAATATTCAAATTAGCTCAAATTATTTTGCATTAATTGTTAAATTCTGTTTAAATTAAGGTTTAACAAAAGCCTGAGATACAGGGGAAAAAAGCATAATTCCTGACGTTAGACTTAGGGTTTCATCTAAGTTTATGTTTCATCTAAGCCATGTGTCAGCTGTGGGAACTTGGCAAGGCACTGTTCCTTCCAAGGTTTGCCTGGCTGTAAAGGAGGGGACAGCATCTGTCAGTGATCTCCTCTATGTCACATACATCCCTGCATGTAGCAGGGACTCAATGGATGGAGGTGGTAATTCATTTAACTATGACAGAACTGATATTTGATGATAAAATGCCCATTACTTTGAAGATTTCATTTTTAATTGAGCCTCCTTTGAGCAGATTTGCTTTTACAGTGCTATAGAAATAAAACGCAATATAAGGGTGTAAATGTGGCATCTAAGCACTGGTCACATGCTCAGGGCAGATACTGAAACTGTACGTCCACTCCTGAGTTTTGAAATGAAAATCTGGATATGTAGAACTGTATTTACACTTATGTAA